TAAGACTATCTAAAGCTGGACAAGTAAATTCACAGCATATATATATACACATACAGATATTTAGGCAAGCATTTTTATAATCATAATAAGAGACTTAAATTGCTTGCATCTAGATTCTGAGTGCTTTGTCTTTAAAAATTAGGTATTGAAATAGAAGAGTTGCAGAATGAAGAGGAAGAACTAAGTCCACCATTCATGGAATACAATATAAATGTGAAATCAAACCCTGAAATACAGTTAGCAGAAATGAGTAAAGATGGAGCCTCAATACCCAGTGAATCTTCAACAGAATCTATTAAAGATCTCCAGGAAGTATAAGCTTTCATTAATATTTGAATTTCAAAAACTTAATCTGGGCCTTTAGTTGTGTGTACTATACTTAAGGCATTATGATTTTAGCTTATATTTAACTGTGTTCATACAGAACTTGAATTGGAATACTTCTTTCCTCAGTACTTTATTCCATAATAATTCCTGCCATTACCATTTATTTTATCAACATTTGTTGAACACTTTACTCTGTGCCAGGCTCCATGATAGATTTCTGAGTACAATTCTTCTTCCTGATTAATAGAAGTCTAAGTGGAAGGGTAGCAGAAAGAAAAAGAGTGCATAATGGGGTATAGAGCAGAGAGAAAGAGAAAATTGAAATATTTCAATGCCACTTGCACAAAAGTAGAATTTAAATCATCTAGGATAGAATCTCCATGTTTCTTAATAACTGGCAAAAGTTATTATATAGTCACTAAGTTTTTCATGGGCTTAATCGTTCATCTTATGAACATGAATATGTTGCTCTTTTAAAAGTGCTTTCTTCCTCACATATCTAGATGTTTGAATTATAGGATAAGCAGCACTACAATACAATAAAAAAAGAGTTGTAAAATAAAAGTGCTTTCTTTCTTTGTTGGTCACATGAATGTGTTCAAGTGAGCACCTGAAAGCATTTACCCTTAGCCTACTTATTGACAGAATATTCTATTCCTTTATACGTTATTGATTTGTCAAGGACAAAAACCTAAGACTAAAATAAAAATAAATGTTTCCATAAAACCTAGAAAGAAATATGATTTATAGTAGTAGAAGACAAACTATCAATAGTTAGAAGAAGCATGCAAAATAGCCCATTGTACACTTTGAGCTGCATATTAAATGATTTATTTCTTGCCTGCTAGGTTAAGAGTAAACCAAAGAAAAAGAAAAAAACTAAGAATAAAAAGGTAAGAGACTACATGAGCATTATAATACAGAGTTGCCTGATTATCACGTCTTCATTTTAATACATGAATTCATTGTTAGAACTTAAATTAGTCCAAGATAGACATGTAGCATGAATGACTCAATGGCATGTTGAGTATAGGATTATAGAGAAATCCACTTACATTGTACATGGTTGAAACAGTATATACAACTCTAAATCATAATTTTCACTTTCAGTATATAAATATGTTGATTGAATTAGTCAGTTTAAAATACCCTTAATTTCTGCATACCACTGTCATTTTAAAAATGTCTACTGAGTATTTTAATAACAGCTTCCTTTGTCATATTTCTACTGTGTAGAAGCATTTTTCAACATGTTAAGAAATCTTATTTTCTTTTGTGTGTCTGAGAGTCTGCCAAAAATGCAATAATGTGCAATAAAGGTACAAATGCAACCTTTTTCATTGCTCTTTCCTCATGTCTACCAGTTCCAAAAAAAAAATTCAAAAAGTCTTACAGTTTTATCAAAAAGTCTTCTAATCACGTAGACAGTTACAATGCAAAGTGAGGTGTTTTTTTTT